ATCTTTTCTCTCTCTCTCTCTCTCTCTCTCTCTCTCTCTCTCTCTCTCTCTCTCTCTCTCTCTCTCTCTCTCTCTCTCTCTCTCTCTCTTTTTTTATTTTGCGCGCGTGCACCAAGGCGAGCTGGCAGGATGGATGACCCCAATGCGGATACGCAGTGGAATGATATCCTGCGCGAGAAGGGCATCTTGCCACCCAAGGAGCCAGAAATCACCGAGGATGATCTGATTGCCATGGTGCGGCCCGGCGATTTTTGAGCGGTGCAGGTCGATTGCTAGCATGTTGGGCATTGTGCTTATCAGCTGACCGTGTGTGTGTGTGTGTGTGTGTGTGTGTGTGTGTGCTTGCTGTATCCGATGGTGTCAGGCCGAGGAGGCGGCTGCCAAGGTCCCGACCGCCAAAGATGGGCGTGCAATGGAGTCTTTGAATTTGGAAGAGCTTGATGAGCTCGAAGATGACGAGGATGATGCTTTTTTGGAAGAGTATCGTCGCAAGCGCATGGCTGAGCTGCACGCCAATGCTCACAGTCACTTTGGCAGTCTGATCAACATCTCTGGTAAACTTTTGTCTCGCTGCACCCTGGACAAGTGTGCGTGACTTTATCATGCAGCATGGCTCATCGCGCGCCTCTATCATAGCTCAGGAATATACCAAGGAGGTGAATCAAGCCGGCAAGGGTGTTTGGGTGATTGTGTATCTGTACAAACCCGAGTAAGCTTTGGGGGCTGCGCATCGGCCGCGTGTCCACCCACAACCCCATCCAGTCACCCTCCCATTATGCCCTCCCACTCTCACCTTCTCTTTTGCGTTTGGTTGTTGGTCTGCCTCTCTAGCCTGCTGGTGTGTCGTCGGCTTCAACAAATTCTGGGCCAGCTGGCAGAAAAGGTAGATTGCAAGTTTTTTTGGGCGCCACGCCTCCACCATGCTTGAGCGAGGCTCTTTCTTGAAAGAAGCGCCTCACCATGTTTGCGCCCTCCAAGCCAAACATCCTACGCTGGCGATCGGAACAATGACTGGAGATGTCACTTTGCGTGGCCTTCCCACACTTCCCTTTACCCTTGCCTTCGAAACACCCCTCACGCGCGCACGCACCTACAACCTTTAGTTTCCGACCGTCAAGTTTGTCCAGTCCATCAGCACAAACTGCATCCCCAACTATCCGGACCGCAACCTGCCCTCCATCTTTGTATACCTTGAGGTTGGATTGAGCCACAACGCGGCGGCTTCTTCCTCCCTGCCGATAGACGCACCGCGGCTTCTTCCTTCCTGCCGCTTTTGCGCACTCTAACCCATGCGTACCATCTGTCCATCCATGCAGGATGACATGAAAAAGCAGTTTGTTGGCCCGTCCATCTTTGGTGGCGAAAGCATGACCCTGGAAAGTACGAACCCCATTGATTTGCACCGTGGCTTTTGGGGGTCGTAACGCACGTTGCTCAACCCAGGCCTTTGCTACAGATGTTGAATGGTCGTTGGCTCAAATTGGGGCACTCAAGAGCGACATTGAAGAGGATCCGCGTGCTAGCAGCGTCCAGTCTGTCCTCCGCACTTATCGCGATGTCCGTTGGTCGTTGGCAGCATCTCGAGACCTGCATTTTTGGTTTTATTTTTATGTTTTATCATTTTTACAAATCATGGCACCCGCCCTGCCGCACTCAATACCTGTACCGCGCATCTGTCTTGTAGGCAGACGATTCGGACGACGACAGCGATTAACCCGACCAGTGTTGTTTGCCTGCACAAGAGGGAAAAATTGGCCCCGACCCGACACCCGTATGCCCCCAATCGATCTGAGATTCTGTGCCATCAGAAGTGCGTGCACTGGCGACGCCTTTTTTGTTGGAGTTGATGCCCGCTCACTTTCATAGCTCCTGGGCAGGGGGGCAGCGAGACACAG